TCAGCAGAACACGCGTTTCAAATGACTAAAGCAATTCGAAACGGCGATCTTGTGGCTGCCGAAAAAATTCGTTCTGCGACGACTGCACTGGATGCAAAGCGCATCGGCGATTATATCTCCAAAAACGAATCGTGGGAAAAAGAACAAATCGAAGTTATGTCAACAATTATAGATGCTAAAGCCTCTCAAATTAAACCCTTTCAAGAAGCCCTACAAAAAAGTGGCCCGAAATCTATCATAGCGGAAGCTACGTACGATGATTTCTGGGGGACTGGTATCAACGTTTCAGCTACTGTAAAAACAAATCCTGAAGCTTGGCCCAGTAAAAACATGCTTGGCATTATAATCAAAGATGTAGCAAAAAACTACCGTCGAAAACCAAGAAGTTGGTCCCTCCCCGAGGCAACCAAATAACAAAGCTGCGCGGGTGTCACACTCACAGAAGGAAATCACCGACTTCGTTAGCCAGCTAAAGGAAGGACCATCCAAGAGATCTCGAGAAAATGTCAACGATGACGCAGACACTAGTGAGCAAGGTTAATATCCTCTTTTTTTTTCAGACTCTCTCTATGATGAACGTTTTTTTTTTCACATTTACGTATTGTTTTGCTTTAAACAAATATCACTATGCCTTACCCATTATTAAGTGTTTTCTCCTTAAATGCGAGGGGATTGAATACATACAAAAAAGAATAGTTTTATATGATTGGCTTCAAGACTTAGACATAGATATTGTATTATTACAAGAAACTCATTATATAGAAGCGAGAGAGTATCAATATAATGCCAGATGGATGGGCTCAAGTTTTCACTGTTTTTCGAGCTCAGCGTTTAGTAGAGGTGTCTCTATATTAATCAGAAAAAAATTTCCTCATGAATTGATAAACTATCACAGGTCTTCTGACGGAAGGAAAATTTTGATAAATCTTAAAATTAATGATATAACTTTTTCAATAGCAAACCTCTATGCACCAAATAATGTATCGGATAGAAAAGAATTTTATATCACAACTAAGTCTTGGGTAAGAAAAAATGCTAAGAATCTTGAGAACTTGATTGTATGTGGAGATTTAAACTGTAATATTGACAACTATAATCAGAATACCGATTCAAGCAAAACGCAATTAAACTCTTTAATAAAACAATTAAAACTGATAGATGGCTGGAAAAAATGCATGAAAATAAATCGGGTTTTACTTGGTGCAATGCAAACAATATTCCAAGTAGCAGAATTGACTATATTTTATTTGCAGAAAAATTTCCATTATCAATAGATTGCTTTTCTTTAAAAAATTGTCCTAAAGTAAATAACAATAGAATGAGTGATCATCTAGGACTAAAAATGGACTTTATCCCACAGAAAAACAAGAGAGGGTGTGGATACTGGAAAATGAATACTTCATATTTAGTAAAGGAAGATTTTTGTAAACAATTAAAAGATATTTTAAGAAATAAAGAACTTGAATTTAGAAATATAAAATGTGCACAAGAAAGATGGGAGATGGTTAAACTTACTGTTAAAGAGTTTTCTATAACCTACTCCAAAACCAAAAGTAAGAATACTAAAAAGAGAGTTAAAGAAATTGAAAACAGAATTACAAAAATTGAAAATAGACCTTTTAATGAAATTAATAATCAAGAAAAATATAAGCTAGAAAGAGAATTACAACAAATATATGATAAAAAATTAGAAGGAGCATACATTAGATCTAGAGCAAACTGGATTAAATGTGGAGAGAAATGCTCTTCTTACTTCTTAAAACTAGAAAATAAGCACCAACAAAGTAATGTTATTGAAAAAATTGACCAAGATAACCAAACCTTTTTTAGTAGTAATGATATCTTGGGGCAATTATGTAAATTCTATAAAAAATTATACACATCACAAAACCCTAAATCTGGAGACATAAGAAACTATTTAAGGAATACTAAATTAAAAACAAAATTAGGCACAGAACAACAAAAAATATGTGAGGAATTTCCTACTCTATTAGAATGTGAAGAGGCTATTAAAAATATGGATAACAATAAATCACCTGGTTTAGATGGCATACCAGTCGAATTTTACAAAATATTTTGGAATGAAATAAAAGATTACTTCTATGATTCACTATTAAAATCTTATGAATATGGTGAACTACCATCAACTCAGAAATTAGCTGTTATAAGTTTGATTTTCAAAAAGGGTGATAAAAGTAATTTGAAAAACTACAGACCCATAAGTCTCACAAACTGTGATTATAAAATACTTGCTTTTGTCTTAGCTAGAAGATTACAAAGGGTTATCTCAAAATTAATAAATAAAGACCAGTCAGCATATATAAAAGGTCGATATATAGGAAATAATGCACGTCTAATTCAAGATATATTTGACTATTTTGAAAATCAAAAGGAGAATGGCTTATTATTATTTTTAGATTTTGAAAAAGCCTTTGATACTGTTGAATGGGAATTTATGTTACAAGTATTAGAAGAATTTAATTTTGGTCCAAAATTTATTAAATGGATTTCAATTTTATACAATAAGCCTACTTTTAGAGTAAAGAATAGTGGTTTTATTTCAAAAACTTGTAGAATGACAAGAGGCATTAGACAAGGCTGTCCAATTTCTGCATTGTTATTCATACTTGCCACTGAAATCTTGTCAACCAGAATAAATACATCAGAACAGGTTAAAGGGTTTCAAGTAAATGATCAATGTGAAATTAAAATGTTACAACATGCTGATGATTCAACGAATCCCCTAAAAGACTTAGTGTCTGTAAAACATGTGATAGAAATTATAAATAATTTCTCTATCCTTGCTGGTCCTAAACTAAACTTGCATAAATCTGAATGTATACTCCTAGGACCTTTAAAAGACACTTGTAAAAATGTACATGGAATAAATGTTACAAATGATCCAGTAAAAACACTTGGAATTTATATAGGACATAACAAGAACCTCTGTGAGGAAAAAAATTGGAATGAAAAAATAAACAAGATTGTTGACACTATAAAAGCATGGGAAAAAAGAAAATTAACTATTTTTGGAAAGAAAGAAATTGTTAATAATCTCATTATTTCAAAATTTCAATATGGAGCAAGTATTCTTCCAAATCCACCAAAATATTCTTAGCAAAGAGAATTTAACTCTTGACTATTTACTCAAAACAAATGTGCAAGATATTACACATTATCATGATTTAAACTTGCTACCTTGTTTCTACAAACAGGCTTTTTGTGCATTTAATAAATGCAAAAAACAAAAAGATGTAGAAAAAATGTCAACTGACGAGTTTTTGTCTTTACCTATTTGGAAAAATACATTATTTATGCATAAAAACAAACCAATATTTCTATCAAACTGGATAAAATCAGGTGTTTTATATACAAAAGATCTTTTTGATATAAATGGAAGACTACAAGATATTTCATACTTTTTAGAAAAAATTAAAGATAAGAGAAACATATTCTGTGAATATTTAATAGTGAAATCTGTGTTTAATAAGTACTCCAAAATCTTTGAATGTAAAAAAGCTCAGTATGTCAATATTAAAGATTATCATTTTGTTTTATTTTATGGGGATATTTATTGTAATGTGGAGAGTCAGAAATCCTCCTTTTTCTACAACATATTGAGAGCAAAGAAATTTCACCAACCTATAACTGTAAAATATTGGACAGACCTATTTGATATTCCTAGATCAATATGGCCAAAAATTTTTAATATGAAAATTACTAAAATGTTTGATAAACAAATTGCTGATTTTAATTATAAACTATTACATAAATTGCTGAATAATAATTTGAATGTTAGTAAATGGAATGCTGATGTGCATAGATTTTGTAACAAGTGTGGAGAAATTGAAAATATAGAACATCTATTATATAAATGCAATGATTCTGCAAACATATGGGAAAAAGTCAGCAAATCATTAAAATTTAATATTGGGTGGAAAAATATAGTAATTGGGTTCTATGAAGAAACTCAGTTATCTGAAATGCTGAACATACTCATTTCTTATATAGCGTTGAAAATATTTAAATATAAAATGAAATGTCGTGTAAATTGTGAACCATGTATTACAGAAAATTTGATGAAATTTGTTAAGAACAATTTATCTATGTATTGTAATATTATAAAAATGTCATATAAAAATTTAAAGCTAGCTGAAATGTGTTTAAATTTGGAGAGAGATTTGTAATGTTAAGATAAAAGAGTATATTTTCATTCTGTAAGATATCTTATGTTAATAATATATTTATTTTTTGAAATCCAATGCTTCTTGGGCAGCCTGGTCGACGAAGCATGTAAACAAATGGGGGTCAAATACGGACTTTTGGCGGAGAATTGGGACCCCCAGGGTTTACAAGGATTTCATAAACACAAAAGATCTTAATGCATATTATCATTATTTTTCTTTATTCATGTATTTTTTGTTTTACTCTTTCGTTACTGAATCATTTGTAAAAATCGATAACTCACATGTTTATGCCCCAGCTTATAACCGGAAATTGTATGTGCTTTGTAAATTTTGAACCAATACCGGACAAGAAAGCAAAATACGAGAATGAAACGCATCTGGTTTTTTTTTCGTTTTTCAATATATTAGTTAAAATTAAATTATTAAGATGAATGTACATATAAATAAACCATGATATTCAAAGAGCCATGATATATGCAATACTGTAATTTGAAACGCTAGATATTTCATCTATTATATTTATTTTTAATATGAAATGTTTTTCAATGAAATATGAATAATCATGATTTTTCTTTTTCATTACTCTTTCAAGATTGTGTAAACTTTTGTATATTAAACATTGAATATAAATATACCGATCCAGGGAGCTCCTGGCACCCCAGGTGACGTATTAACAGAGGGCTTCTGAGGAAGTTTTACCTCAAACTTTGTTGTATGAAATAAATCTTTTATAAATAAAAAAAAAAAAAAAAAAAAAAAAAAAAAAAACTCTTTCAAGATTGAAATTGGTCCTCGAACTGATCTGCCATATACAAGCTCGAACGGAGAAAATCCAAGACTCTCCTGAGGAACTTCTCTATAGGCGAACAGAACTGCACTCAGGTACTTGTCCCAATCTTTAGGTTTTTCAGAACAAAGTCGATTCAACATTTGTTTTCGAGTTCCATTGAAACGTTCTACCAACCCATTACAGCTCGGATGATATGGTGTCGTGGTCCATTGTCGAAGAGAAATAAGTCGACTCACCTCTGACATTAGAGAAGAAGTAAACTGACTTCCCATATCTTTCAACATCTCACGGGGCACACCGATTCTCGAGAACATCTCCATTAGGGCCTCTGCAACTCTCTCTGTCTCGATGTTAGGCAAAGCAATAGCTTCTGGATAGCGAGTAGCATAATCCACCAGAGTCAAAATATAACGGTTACCTTTGTCGGTGGTTGGGTACAGTGGTCCAACAAGATCAACTGCAACTCTTTGGAAGGGCTCATCTATGAGTGGCATTCGCTCCAATGGTACTTTCTGTACCTTACCTTTGTGAACTGTGCGCTGACATATGTCACACGACTGGCAATAACGCCGCAACTCACTATGCATCCCTGGCCAGAAGAATTCTGAGGTAACTCTTGCTAAGGTCCGCTGTGTTCCCAAGTGACCTGCTAACAAAGATTCATGCGCTAGTTTCATTACCTGGTCTCGGAACTTTTCAGGAACAAGCAGCTGGGTATGCACCTTGTCTTGTCCTCCAGTACGGGTGCTGTATTGTCTAAACAAAAGACCAACTCACCTTACCATTTTTCTTCATCTGAGTCACGTGGTTCTCAACACATTCACGTACCTTTTTTCAGAGAAACATCCTGCTCTTGTACATTTCTAATTTTCAATAGATCAAAATCCTCAGATATGATGGCTGGTACTTTAAGCTGAGTGTATGGTTTGCTCTTGTTACGTTTCTGTTGCCGGGTCTCTACAGCGTTTACCTGCCAATCTGGATCTGGTTGAGTCGCTGGCTTGGCATCTGGGACATTACCAACTATCAGATCGTATACAGGATTCTCCATGCACCATACCTCATGTTGTTCTTTCAAGAAGGGAGTGTTAATGGAAACCTCTGCGATCGGAACAGTTATTTTGGAGCCGTCTGCTAGAACACAAGTCTGTTTCTTACCTTGTACTAGGTCTTCATCTTGTATTTTGCTCCTCCTTATGACAATACCACTGCAGCCAGTATCTCTCAAGACTGTCACTGGTACATTGTTAACATAACCTGCAGATATCGGCATACTAGAAGCTAAGCTACTTTGGCAAGACGAAAATGACGTAGTTGTTGGAAAAGACGATGCAGTAGATTCTACAATAGGGTCTGAAGGCATTGTACTAACAAAACATACCTTTTGCTCAGAAGATCCAACGTCCTGTACAGCATGTGACATATTGTTAAAAACTGTTTTGGACCTACACTCTGATGCAATATGTCCAACTTTGTGACATTTAAAACACTTACGTTCTGACTTAGGTATGAATCTTTTCTTATCAAAAGACGAACTCTTGTTCTCACCAACATCTACTTTCTTTACCGGTTCGACCTTTTTGGACAAAGAAATCTTACCCTTACCTATAGCTTGTAGCGCACTTACGTCGCGGGCATCTTTGTACTGATCAGCTAAGTTTGCCATATTTGTTAAACTGTCAGGTATTCTCTCCTTTAAAAACAATCTTAAATCTTGACTACATACATGCAGAAATTGATCTCGCAACATAAGATCATACAAACCTTGATATGTTTTGGGTGCCTTTGCCATTTCAACCCACCTTTCAAAGTAACTACTCAATCGGACAGCAAATTGAGAAAAGGTTTCACACTGATCTGGCCTACATGATCTAAACTTCTTTTTAAAACCATCATCGGTCAATTCAAAGCGTTTCAATAAAGCTGTCTTAAGAGTATTGTAATCAAGGGCATGAGTTTTTGGCATTAACGCATACACATCTAAAGCCTTCCCCTTTAATAATGCACTAAGATTTATAGCCCAGTTTGAATGATCCCATTGCTGAGCCTCAGCATATCGTTCAAACCTAAGGAGAAAACTATCCATCTCATCATGAGAATCATCAAAGAAAGGGAGTTTGGGTGTTTTGGGCAAAACATGACCACCAGTAAACTTTGACTCGTCTGAGAAAATAGGCTTTTGTTCTAATTTCATTTTCTCTATGTCATTTCTCATTTTCTCTCTCTCTAACTCAAAACTAAGTCTCTCTTTTTCAACCTCAGTCTGAGAATTTATCTTTATCTTATCTAACTCTCTCTGAGCTTGTCTTTCATCTCTCCGTAAAGCTTGCTGCTCTTTAACAAAATTTGTGAGATCTTCATCTTTAAGACCTAAACTCTCCCCAAATAATTTCAACTCGTTTAAATCATCAGACATGACTACCACATGTGACAGAACAAATTTTAATTCGAACCTCACTTCACCTCTAACTACCTTAAAACCAGCAAAAACTAATATGCACTTACTAACCGCATCGCGATATTCTTTACATCCAGTTACGCGACTTGCACCATTGCTTACTCTGTTTTTACCAGAATGGTCCAACTCACTGAGACAAGTCCAACTCCTGTTAACACATTTCCGAGGTCCCAAACAACCAGAATCCGGCTGATTCTCTACAACATAGAACAAACACAACAGAAAATTGGAAAATACAAAATAGAACAGCATGTAGAAAACATTGACCAAGCAGAGAAAATTTTCAACAAAAAGAGAAAAATGTCAGTTTTTTTTTTAACTTAAAAAAATTATACAAATATTTTTGAAAACTTTGTATAGTTGTTACATAAAACAAAAATTAATGTTCTTAGGGAATCTTATCCCACTTCTGACACCAATTTGTCACAGATTGTCGAGCGGATTTACTATTTCTTTTTACTTCACTAAATTTAAATATAACTCAAATGCATTTTTAAAAGATAATTTACATATTTAATAACAATAAATGTACAAATTCAACAAATTCCGTTGTTGCTTGTCCTATTGCGTCGTGCTGCCGCCTTACACACTACTGGCCAGAGGAACTCTAAGGCCCAAAGGTTGTTTCCCTTTTACGCACCACTCCACTCGGAACGGGCTGACTCACTACAAGGCACTGGGTGGCCTTTCCACACCGTCTCTATGTAGACTTATACCATGGATAGATGGAACCTGCTCCAACATACATATACAAGTTTTATTGATAAGCGCTTTTGGCTTGACACAAATACATACTTCACTCATTATCAAACTTGTGGATAATGTACACGTCTTAGATAAGACTAATTACACAAACGAGTTGTTTAAAATATACATACAACTCTTACACAAATGCAATATTGCGAATTGCTACTACACGGACAAACTTATATGACGGAAATTGTACACCATACTTTAGAAATATTCAAATACGTGTTACTATACATAGAAATACAATTATAAACGAAACATACATGCTTAAAATGATGAGAAATGTGGTTACTGGATGTTTTAGGACAAATGAACGCGAAATGAAAATAATAAAGATAAAATATTATAAACATAAACTTTACCTCAGAAAAGCTGGACCATAATATACAGGAAATACAGAGGAAGCCCTGCAAGTAATACTGGTACTCGCTGTAGTTATAATTTCTAATTACAAAACATATCAGATCTCTGCTACATGTATGACAGAGGGGTAAAAGCGTCCTCCTCTCTGCACTGCCGTGTCCAAACTATCTTGCACGGACTGGCGGGTTTAAAGGTCCAGTGAATTGAGGTTCAGTAAAGGAAATTTACAATGATAAACTGACTAAAACGAAGGGGTTCCACTACATAATATTAAAATACAGTAACCAAATAATATGGGGATTTTAATGTGACAGTAACAGCTCCAGAACTGAAGATCTATTTAAGCAACTTGATTTTCTTAATGTTTTGATTTTTTCCATAGCTTCAGTGGAAAGTTGGTCGTTTGCAAGATGAACAGGGCAGCACCGAGACCCGGGGGGAATAAATATCTCTCCTTGAATGTATGCCCTGAAGCGGGTGTAAGTAGAGGCTACCTGCAATTTTGGCCCAGGTCTTTTGCAAACGAAACAGTATGAGTGGCCTGTGCTTGTGCTTGGAATAGCTAACCTGACCGATGGCGGGCTCCTGTCTGGTAGAGATCTCATTACTTTAGGAGGCGGTTGATACTCATCTTCATCACACTGTTTATCTGTCTTAGTAGTTTCACTCCGTTTTTTGTAACACATGTGTGAGCATTTGTTGCATATAACTAAGGATTCAGATATATCATAGATACAGAAATATTTCTGCAGAGTCTTCTTCGTTATTTCGTTCACTTTTCTCCTTCCTTGTGATTTGTGACGCTGACGGCAAAGAATACAATAAATATTCCGATCCATAATGTGTACTGAAAAAAAATAAAATGTAAGTTAATTGTAAAATGCAGTAGTGTAAGGAAATCTTGAAGTCAAAATTAATAAAATTTCTTTTATCTTTTAATGTAGCTTCGAGTTTTTGATTGACTGAGAAAAAAAAGGGGGGGGGGGCTCCATCCCTTTGTACCTGTGTTGACATTTCAATCATAATATAATAAGGCATTTAGGCCTACTACTTATTGTTAAATTCTGTAAATCTAAGTATGTTTTAAATGCAAAAGTACAAGGGAAATCTTTAAAAAAAAAAAGTAAATTCAAAGATGCAAAGGAAAGTAAAAAAAAAAAAAAATCAATGGCAATTCGGGGGTTCGAACCTTTGCCACATTGACAATGCCATGAGCTCGCAGCAATGATAACCATTACGCTACCGCCGCTTCACATAATCAGTGGTGTCTTAAAAATCATAATATTATTTCAGAATGAGGACATTGCAGAACTATTTATATCCTTGTTTACAAAATATGTCATAATAGTCTTTATATCTAACCAAAGTCTTGTCAAACAAGTAAAAAACTATACTAAGCGCAGTTTCAAACTAGCCACAGCATGATATTAATTTTTATACGAGAAAAGGGCCATGAATATATGCTAGCCTAGCCTTCATTATGCAGACGACAGTACTGTTGTGTAGAGCATGGGGGCTACTAATATTTATCTATTCACTTAATAGCCCAAATTTTAAGTTACTTTTGTGAAATAAAAATTATATTTTCTGTTGTTTATCTTGCAAGCATGTAGCGAGCATCTATACGTTTCTATGCATAACTACAAGTAACGAGGAGGACATCAATCCATTATTATTATTTATCTATTGCTTACTTTGTCCTTCAGGTAATTCAAATCTTTCATTAATTTAATAAGTGGCTAATATATATATCTTACCTTATGTTTAACATTTCTTTGTTGAATCCATTATGAAAACAATCGACAGAGTACAAAAATCCGACGTAAGAAACACCCTGTAGCTCTGGTGCATTCCTGAATCCGCCACCGGAAATCGTCAAAAATATCAAAATAAAGGGTCTGAACATGCCTCGAGCAACACAAAAAGAAAATAAAATTTGTATTTTTAAGTATGAAATCAGAAAAATGACATTAGAATTTGCTCGAGGACTGTTCACTATCTTAATTTTACAATTTTATGATAAAAATTGTGTTGAAAATTGTTATTTCCGGAAAAAAACGGAATATTCAGTCTGCTCTGGACTTAGATGTAGCGAGTTTCAAAAATTTTATAATGTATATTTGACATCTATGAGTAGTTTATTTTCTTTGTATGATAAAAGTTTTCGGGTTTAATGCTTAACTAAAATCAAGAAAACCTTGGGCCTTCGTAGTATTACTACCGTACTTAATTCTTTAAGAACTACAGAAGTTTAACAAGTCTAAAAAAATCACAGTATGGTTCAGTAATGTACAGTGTCAAACTGGGATTCGTACATTGAACTTCAGTGATGTACAGTGCCAGTCTGGGATGCGTACCGTGATCAACAGTAGTGTACTGTGCTGTACAGAGATTGAGTATTGTACGCGTCTGTGATGTACAGTGTTGTACTGTGGAGGCGTACAATGAGAGACAGTGGTGTACTGTGCTGTACAGTGGGGACGTACAGTAATGTACAGGGATGTACAAAAAATAACAGTGAGTTTGTACTGTGATTTACCGAGGATTTCAGTAGGTACAGGGATTTTGTACAGTGACTGTACAGTGCTTAAACAGAGAAAAGCAGAACTTTGACAGTGGGTAACAGAGTTTATCAGAGAATTTTCAGAATATAAGGGAATTTTAAGTTCAGTAGTGATATTGCTTAAAACAACTACTTTCTTGAAATTTATGCAACATCGAACTTAAATATGCATCATTAAGCACGAATTAAAGAAATTATTTATTGTATGTATTTTTTCTTTAAAACTTAAGAAATATTAGGTGAACACTTAGAAGTTTGGTTCAGTGTATATTTATCTTTCGATTCTATCCTTGAATCTCTGATTTTCAAATACATGATTTATGGCGTATTTGCAGTAACCTTTGTGCTGATATCACAATATGTTTTACTCATTTGTAAATATTACTTTTTAGCAATAATTTTTTCACACTTTTCGTCTTTTCTTCTTTGGAAAAAATAATCATTTATCCCAAAAGCATTTTTAGACTTTTGTTAAAATAATTTAAAATGCTTCAATATTACGGACGCTTGATGCTTTATACCTTTCTTTCCTTGTGTGTGTATGACCTTCACTACTATGGAAAACATGCTGAGAGGTGAAACATATATCTGCGGCATTGTTGTGCTAGTTAAAAAGGAATAATGATAATAAAAGTTCATACTTTTATTTCTACATTTGTATTTCAATGATAACTAATTCAAGAGATCAAGGAAGAAAATATATGCAAGTATTAATGTCAAATATTAATAAATCTTCATGAAGATATCCAACATTGTTTTATGCTGTTTCTATTTAGTCTCATTGAGAATCGGCAACACAGCTGAGACACATTTTTACATAAACCATTTCTTCCTTATAATTTTCCTTACTTCATGTACATCAGAAATATTCCTGTCCATTGCTAAGAACGTTAAGGGTTTAGCATTTTTCGACATATCCTGAACACTACACAATTTTAAAGCACGATATTCCAAGAAAAACAGTTTTACTATTTAAATGGACTTGTTAAAAACACAATCACCACATGCCCTATATGCCTGTACAGCTACAGAAACTGCCTTACTTTTCGAATCATTTATATAATGTTCTACCCATATGATAAAATTATAGAGTACAACTCAAGTAAAGACAGTCCATAAATGAATTGCAGTCTGTTACTAATTGATACTTAGATGCGAAAATCAACGTCATTGATTTTCCGCAAGGTGTTAAAAGAAAGGCTTGTTTTACTTACAATGCCTGAAGTAAGGGTCTAGAAGAAACCCATACGGATATAAGTTATTAAGAAACACCAAATGATGT